TCATATGCTGGCCAGGCTTGGTGGCTTACGCCTGTAATCCCAGCACTTTGAGAGGCTGAGATGGGTGAACTGCTTGAGCCCAGGAGTTGGAGACCATCCCAGGCAACATGGTGAAACTCTGTCTCTACTAAAAATACAAAAAATTGGCCCGGCATGGTGGCACACACCTGTGGTCCCAGCTACTTGGGAGGCTAAGGTAGGAGAATCACCTGAGCCCAGGATTTCAGATCACACCACTTGCACTCCTGCCTGAGTGACAGAGGCCTTGGTTTTTGTTGTTGTTGTCTGTTTGTTTAAGTCATTGTGCCCTCCCAGTATTTGAGACTCCTCTTTCTTAATCTTATACTTAAATTTAGCTGAGCTTGATGGCTCACTCCTTTAATCTCAGCACTTTGGGAGGCCAAGGAGGGAGGATCACTTGAGCCCAGGAGTTCGAGACTAGCCTGGGCAACATGGCAAAACCCCATCTCTACAATAATTACAAAAAAATTAGCTGGGCATAGTGGTGTGCACCTGTGGTCCTAGCCACTCAGGAGGCCGAGGTGAAAGGATGGCTTGAGCCCAGCTCGAGGCTGCAGTGAGCAGTGATGGCACCAATGCACTCCAGCTTGGGTGACAGAGTGAGATCCTGTCTCCAAAAAAAAAAAAAAAAAAAAAAGAAAGAAAGAAAGAAAAAGAAAAAGTTATTAAATCTTTCTCCACACCTCTCGAAATATTTTCAAACTTACAGAAAGTTGCAGGAATAGTAGTACAAAGAGCACCCACATTCCTTCCGCTCAGGTTCCTCAGTTGGTACCTTGTATCACGTTTGAGGAGTGTGTGTGTGTGTGTGTGTGTGTGTGTACCCTACCATTTTCTCTTTCTGAATGATTTGAGAGCAAATTGCAGATATGAAGCCCCTGGGCTCCCCAGTAAGTATTCTGCCCACCAAAGGACACTCTACTACATAACCACCATATGACCCTCCAGATAAGGAAATCCACACTGATTCAATGCTTCCAGCCAGTACTGAGACCCCATGCAAGTTTCACCAACTGTCCCTATGATGTCTTTTTGCTTTCTCATCCACAACCACTCCAGGAACACGTGCTCCCTTTAGTTGTCGTCTATTCCTTCTCCTTCGATCTGGAGCCATGGTGCCTCAATCTTTCCCTGTCATTCCTGCCCTTGACAGTTTTCAAGAGTACAGGCCTTTCACTCTGTAGGGTTACTAGGAAATCTCTGTACCCACAGAACACTTCTGATGCAAATGTGTGAGTTTTTTTTCTCATGACAACCAGTTCTCCAACTCTCCAGACACTAGTCAGGTGTCCAACAATTCAGTAGAATTCTGACACTATAGACCTGGAGTTAGCGTCAGATCCCACAGGTTAAAGGGCTCAGTCTCACAAGACGGCCCCCACTTAAAATGCCAATCTCAAGTCCTGGGTCTCCCATACTTCTAATTGACTCGCTAAAAATCAAAGGTTCCCACAACACCTTGGATTTGCTAATTTTCTAGAACAGCTTACAGAACTCAGGAGTGCCCTTTCCTTACTAGTGTATTTTAAAGGATATAGCTCAGAAACAGCCAATGGGAGAGATGCAGGGGGCGAGGTCTAGGTCAAGAGATGCAGAGCTTCCATGCTTTCTCTGGGCGTGTTGCCCTCTAAGTACCTTAATGCGTTCACCAACTCAGAAACTCTCTAAACTCTGTCTTTTAGGAGTTTTATGGAGGTCCTGTTACTTAGGTATGATTGACTAAATCATTGGCTATCGGTGATTAACTCAACCTTCAGCTCCCCTCCTCCACCTGGAGGTCAAAGGGTGGGGCTCCAAGTTCAAATCTTTTTTTTTTTTTTTTGAGAAGGAGTCTTGCTCTGTCGTCCAGGCAGGAGTACAATGGTGCGATCCCAGCTCACTGCAACCTCCCCATCCCAGGTTCAACCAGTTCTCCTGCCTCAGCCTCCCAAGTAGCTGGGATTACAGGCACATGCCACCACACCCAGCTAATTTTTGTATTTTTAGTAGAAACAGGGTTTCATCATGTTGGCCAGGCTGGTCTTGAACTGCTGACCTCGTGATCCACCTGCCTCAGCCTCCCAAAGTGCTGGGATTACAGGTCTAAGCCACCGTGCCCAGCCCCAGGTTCAAATCTTCTAATCACATGGTTGGCCTTTCTGATGACCAGACCCCATTCTGAAGCTATCTAAGGGTCTTTGGGCACCAGTCAACTCATTAGCATATGAAATAGATAACTCCTGTAGCTCCAGAGATTCCAAGGGTCCTTAGAAGTTCTTGTGTCAGGAACCTGGGACTGAGACAAAAATAGTATAATAAAAGATGCTTCTATCACACCTATCACTGAGGAAATTACAAGGATTTCAGGAGCTCTGTGCCAGGAAAGGGGACAGAAGACCAGGTGCATGTTTCTTACTGTATCACAACATCACAAGGGTGAACCTCAGATTGGATTTGTCTGATTTTTCCTTTTGACTAGTATTAGAAGCCATGCGTTCTTGGCCAGAATTCTTTAGAAATGGCGCTGTGCTCTTCTCATTACATCGCCACGGGACAAACAATGTCACTGTGTCCCACTGCTAATAATGTTAACCTTAATTACCTGGAAAAGTTGATGTTTGTCAGGTTTCTTGGCCACGCACAGTGGCTCATGCCTGTAATCCCAACACTTTGGGAGGCCAAGGCAGGTGGATTGCTTGAGCTCAGGAATTCAATAGTGGACAACATAGTGAAACCTCTTCTCTACAAAAAAAAAACACAAAAATTAGCTGGGCATGGTGGCACGTGCCTGTAGTCCCAGCTACCTGGGAGACTCAGGTGGGAGGATGGCTTAAGCCTGGGAGATTGAGCCTGCAGTGAACCGAGATTGTGCCCCTGCACTCCAGTCTGGGTTGACAAAGCGACCCTGTGTCAAAATGAAACGAAATAAAAACCCTCAAACATTATTTTTGCCTTTGTAATTGAACAGCATTCTGTGGGGAGATATTTTGAAATGACACCAACATATTGTTCCTCATGGACCCTCACTCGTTAGCCTTAGCATCCGTGGAACCCTCTGCCTGAATCAGCTTCCACCATGGTGATGGCCTATTGAGATTTTCTATTTCTATCAGTCCTTCTACATTTGTTAGTTGGCATTATACTGTAAGAAGCGTTTTTCTTTCTCCCTATTCATTCAATAACTCACTCACTCACTCACTCATTCATTCATGTAAGTATGAATTCATTGATTTCTTTTCGTCCAATGGGTTGTATCCATTGACATCACTATTTTCATACTCAAAATTTCCCAGCTTTGGCTAGTAGGAGCCCCTTCAAGATAGATACTGGGTCCTTTTGACATGTCCTCATCATTATTTGAGCACTTCCTTGGTTTCTGGCACAAAAAGATGCTTCAGACTCATCTTGTACTTTTCCTGCCCCAGGAGCCTTGATTCCTTTCACAAGATGGTGTTTGGAAGCCGAGATCTAGGCCTTCAGTGAGCACCTTTCTACTGGGTATCATTGCTTCTAGGCCCTTTTCAGTGGACAGAGCTAGAAAATAAATGTATGTCTCTGTGTACATACACATACATACATCTCTATTTTTATGTAAGTATATATAAAATCAAAAACTATGAGTTTTTATTTATCTCCAATTGCAATCTAACAATCCAATGTTCTTTCTAATCATTCACTTTTATAAAATCACTTCTCTGACAGTGATTCCATTATCCTCTGATTATAGATTCCATTAGCCTCACTGTATTTACATTTTCACTCAGTTTTCTAATTTTTTTTTTTTTTTTTAGATGGAGTCTCGCTCTGTTGCCCAGGCTGGAGTACGGTGGTGCAATCTCAGCTCACTGCAATCTCCGCCTCCTAGATTCAAGCAATTCTCCTGCCTCAGTCTCCTGAGTAGCTGGAACTACAGGCGCGCACCACCACACTCGGCTAATTTTTGTATTTTTAGTAGAGATGGGGTTTCACCATGTTGGCCAGACTGGTCTTGAACTCCTGACCTCAGGTGATCCACCTGCCTCGGCCTCCCAAAGTGCTGGGATTACAGGTGTGAGTCACCACACTCAGCCTCAATTTTCTAATTTTCTCAGTGTAACTAATCACACAATCACAATAACCACTTCCTTCTCTTTATCACCCGTAACTGCCTCCTTGACCATGGAACATACCAACACCTCCTTGCAGCCCCCACTACAAGAGGGCCCTCTTCCTTCCCCTCACTGTCCCTCTTCCTTGCCCCAGGGCACACTAATGTGTCCATGCTGGTCCCCCTACCCCTCCCACTGCTCTAATTCTTCTACTACCAGGCAGGCAGAAATCCTCCACAACCTCGCTACTCCATTTCTTGGCCTCCAGGCATGCCAACACCTCTGCATCCATGTCCCTTCTGCCTCCTTTCTCCATGTGCAGAGCATACTGACACCCCAGGGGATGATAAAGAAGGAAAGGAAAACTGCATGTCTCATTTTTACTTCCAAATTTTAAGTTTATTTCAATGTGTTTCTGCCAAAACTTTAATGGGATTTTAACTCTCTGTGCCTCAATTTCTATTGTTGCTTATGAGATACCTTGTAAGCCTACATTAGCCTGTGCAGGGCCCACCCCAAAGGCTGCCACAAGCAGGCTTAATGTATCATGGGAATATGTATTAAAGAACTACAATTAAGTAGTGTGTGATTCAAGTAGTATATACAGGTTTTAGAAGACCTGATGTTAAACATCTCTCTAATAGTTTCTTAATTAATTGAAAAACATCCTTATTCCCAATAGTAGTTGTATATTCAAATTGGGTCAAAGTGAAAAGAAAATTACATAGTTTCTTAACTACTTAATAAGCCCTTTCTTCTTACCTCTGATGTGTGCTAAGGGGGCTGCTAAATGCCATCTTTACAAGGAATTTAATTTAACATTCTTTCTGTAAAAATATTGACCTCCTGGTAGATATGATCAATATATCTTGATCTTATTGATTAAATGTTGATTTCTTTTCTGTGTAATAGAACCCAGTTTTTGAAATTCAAGAGCGGCAAGAGGAAATAGTGGAAATAAACCCTGAATATAATGATTCCAAGATGATAATAAAGGTAAACTTACTTATTTCATAAACCTGAATTATGAGCAGTGTTGTTCTCCTGTAGAAAAAAATATGGATTTGTTTAGAAAACTCAGCTTTCTTTTCTTTTTCATCTAAGAATATACCCATATTTAGCTAAATTATACTTTGCTTTGTGAGTATGGATCTATGTCTTCATTTTAGGAAGAGGAGTTTCCTGTTGTACCTCCCATATGAGCACCCCTGAGTTATTTTTAATCTCTTGAGACTTGTCAAGACTTCGTAAGCACTAGGCATTATTCATTACAATTCTTGAGTCCAGGAATGATTTATTATAATTTTTTTTCTTGAGATAGGGTCTCACTCTGTTGCCCAGATTGAAGTGCATTGGTGTGATCACAGCTCACTGTAGCATCGACCTCCTGGGCTCAGACTTCTGAGCAGCTAAGACTACAGGTGTGTGCCATCACACCCTGCTAATTTTTAAAATTTTTTTGGAGATCTTGCTGTGTTGCCCAGGCTAGTCTTGAACTCCTGGGCTCAAGGGACCCTCCTGCCTTGGCCTCCCAAAGCACTGAGATTACAGGTGCGAGCCATTGTGCCCAGCCTGTAGATAATTATGGATCATGGAATTTCGTATTTGAAAAGCATCTTGGAGGAGGCTGTGTGATTTATCTTACAGATGAGGAAACAGGCAGAAAGGGAATATGACTTGCCCAAGACCACATAGAGGATTAGAGGAAAATTGGAAATAGAAACTAGTGTCCTAATTTCCATTCTGTTGCCCTCTCCATTATATCAAAAGGCCACAGGGGAGGAAAAACGACCAGGCACCTGAGTGATGAAATAGCTCCCCTCAGTGTCCTTTCCGTGGTATTACAGAAGGACTCGGGACATCTGTTTTCCCATGGAAGCAAAGGCTGGTCTTTCTGATGATTGCTGCGTAGCGAGAGTCTATGGGAGGCACTTCTTGGTGACCCTTCCAATCGCAAACTAAAACCGTGGCACAGAAATCAGCACAGTTAGAAATGGGCTGACACATGCAGATTGGTAGCTGGAATTAGCCCAAGTGGGAAGGAAAAAACTGTGTCTGAAAATCTTTTAAAATAAAATACATTATGCATATGAAAAAGAATAAAGAATTACGTAATGAGAAGTTGGATTCCCATCCCAAAGATTAAAAAAATAAATCATTGCTGAATCAGTTGAAGCCCCCAGTGTATCCCTCGTGGGACATCTTCCTGTTCCCTCATGGCAACCACTAACCTGAATTTTCTACTTATTCTTCTTTCTCTTTTCTTCATAGTATTCACAAACTTTAGTTTAGGTTTTTGTGATTTTGTATTTTATTTAAACGATATTATACTGCAAGTTTTCTTCTGCAGCTTCCCTTACCATTTAGCATCATGCTGTGAGCTTACATGGTCATTACTGGTAGCTTCAGTTCATTTATTTTCACTGCTATACAGAATTATTGGAGAAGTATTTTTATTCATTCCCTATTTGTTGGACATTTGGATTGTTTTCAGATTTTCGTAACACAAACAATGCTGTTACAAACTTTATGGTACAGGACCCAGTGTGTATATGTGTAAGAATTTTTTTCTGATTGCGTGAATGTACCTACAAGTAGGACTGCTGAATGGAAGGGGTCTACACATGTTCAACTTAAGAGATTATATTAAATTGCTCTACAACATGGTTGCACCATTTTTTGCTTCCCCCAGCAATATATTAAGAACTCCAGGAGCTGGGCATGGTGGCTAATGCTTATTATCCCAGCACTTTGAGAGTCCAAGGTGGGAGAAGTTCAAGTAAGGAGTTCAAGACCAGCCTGGGCAACATAACAAGACCCTGTCTCTAAAAATAAAATTTAAGAAAAAAATTAGCTGAGCAGTCCTCGCTTCTCAGGAGACCAAAGCAGAAGGATAGCTTGAGCCTGGGAGTTCAAGGCTACAATGAGCTTTGATCCTGCCACTACATTCCAGCCTGGGTGACAGAGCAAGATCCTGTCTTAAAAAAGAAAAAAAATGCTCCATCGTTCTAAATCTTCTTCAGAATTGAGCGTTGCCAGATTTATTTTTCTCAGTGTGGTGGGTGTAAGATGGTATTTTATTATTATAATTTGTATGTATTTTATTATTAATAAGTTTGGGCATCTTTTCACAATTATTGGTCATTTGTGTTTTCTCATCTGTGAAATGCCTATTCATGTCTTTTGCCCATTTTTTATTAGGTTGTTTATCTTTTTCTTGTTAATTTATAGGAGCTCCTTATATATTGTGGTTACCAATCTTTTGTTAGCTATATGTGTAGCATGTATCTTCTAGTAGTTTTGACTTGTCTTTTTACTCTCTTCTTGGTGCCTTTTAAAAATTAAATGTGCTTATATTTGTAGTTTTTATTTTGAAGTAATTTCTTTTTTTTCGTTTTTTTTCTTTTTTGAGACAGAATTTCCCTCTTGTTGCCCAGGCTGGATTGCAATGGCATGAACTCGGCTCACCTGGATTGCAATGGCATGAACTCGGCTCACCGCAACCTCCATCTCCCGGGTTCAAGCAATTCTCCTGCCTCAGCCTCCTGAGAGCTGGGATTACAGGCGTGCGCCCCCAAACCTAGCTAATTTTGTATTTTTAGTAGAGATGGGGTTTCTCCATGTTGGTCAGGCTAGTCTTGAACTCCCGACCTCAGTTTATCTGCCCGCCTCGGCCTCCCAAAGTGCTGGGATTATAGGCGTGAGCCACCGTGCCCAGCCTATTTTGAAATAATTTCAAACCATGTAAGAAGAATTCTTACATGGCCATATTGAATCTAACCATACCCAAATTCACCAATGATTAAGATTTTTCCATCTGTGTTTTACAATTTTATCTATCTTTTTTCCTTGACCTATTTGAGATCAAACTGCAGACATCATGTTTTTTTGACCTCTGCCAAAATTTCAGTATGTATTTCCTAGAATAAAGACATTATATCACTTCTATAATCACGGTACAATGACAAGAATCAAAATTTTTAAAAATCGAGATGAAATTTACACAACATAAAATTAGCTATTTTAAAGTGCACAATTTAAGGCTGGGCATAACGGCTCATACCTGTAATCCCAGCACTTTGGGAGGCCAAGGCAGGCAGATCATCTGAGGCCAGGAGTTCGAGACCAGCTTGGCCAACATGGTGAAACCCCGTCTCTACTAAAAATATAAAAATTATCTGGGCATGGTGGTGCATGCCTGTAATCCCAGCTACTCGGGAGGCTGAGACATGAGAATCACTTGAACCCAGGAGGTGGAGGTTGCGGTGAGCCAAGATCGCGCCAATTCACTCCAGCTTTGGCAACAAGAGGGAACCTCTGTCTCAAAAAAAAAAAAATTAAATAAATAAATAAACAAATAATATAGTTCACAATCCAGTGGCATTTAGTACTTTCAAACTGCTGTGAAACCACCACCTCTATTTTAGTTCCAAAACATTTTTGTCACCCTAAATTAAAACCAATACCCATTAAGCAGTTACTCCCCAGTCACTCCACCCCCCACCCCACCCCACCCCACCCCTGCAGCAGCTATCAATCTGCTGCTTTAATGGATTTACTTCTTCTGGAGATTTCACATAAATGGAATTGTTCAATGTGTGATGTTTTGTGTTTCGCTTCTTTTGCTTAGTATAAGGTTTTTGAGGTTCATCCATGTGTCCATGTATTTGCATCAGCACTTCATTCCTTTTTATGGCTGAATTATATTCCATTATATGTAAAAACCACAATTTGTTTATTCATTTATCCACTGATGGACATTTGGGTTGTTTCTACCCTTTGGCTGTTGCAAACAGTGCCACTATGAACATTCATGTTCAAGTATTTGAGTACCTGATTTTCATTTCTTTTGGCTAGGTACCTAGGAGTGGAATTGCTGGATCATATAATAATTCTATGTCTGACTTTCGGAGAAAGTACCAAACTGTATTCTGCAGCGACTGGGCCATTTTACATTACCACTAGCAATGTATGAGGGTTGCAATTTCTACATCCTTGCCAACACTTGCTATTTTCCTTTTTTTTTTTTTTTAAGACAGAGTCTTGCTCTGTCACCCAGGCTGGAGTGCAGTGGCACGATCTCGGCTTGCTGCAACCTCTGCCTCTTGGGTTCAAGCGATTCTCCTGCCTCAGCTGGGATTACAGGTGCCTGCCACCATGCCCGGCTAATTTTTGTATTTTTAGTACAGATGGTGTTTCACCATGTTGGCTAGGCTGGTCTCGAACTCCTAACCTGAAGTGATCCACCCACCTCGGCCTCCCAAAGTGCTGGGATTACAGGTGTGAGCCACTGTTCCCGGCCTTTTTTTTTTTTTAATAGCCATTCTACTGGGTATCAAGTGGTATCTCATTGTAGTTTTCATTTGCATTTCCCTAATAACTAATGATGTCATTATCTTATTATATCATTATATCAAGATATGTCATTATCTTATTATAAGGAAGTTTATGTGCTTATTGGCCACTTCTATATCTTCTTTGGAGAAATGTCTGTTTAAGTCGTTTGCCCATCTTTAGACTGGGTTTTCTTTTTCTTTTTGAGTTGTAAGAATTCTTTATATATTCTAAATAATAGACTCCAGATATATGATGTGCAAGTTTTTTTTCTATACATTGAAGTCTATACATTGTCTTTTTAACTATGCTCGCGGTGGCGGGTGCCTGTAGTCTCAGTTACTCCGGAGGCTGAAGCAGGAGAATGGAGTGAACCCGGGAGGCGGAGCTTGCAGTGAGCGGAGATCGCGCCACTGCACTCCAGCCTGGGGACACAGTCAGACTCAGTCTCAAAAAACAAACAAACAAACAAACTATGTTGCCCAGGCTAGTTTCAAACTCCTGGGCTCAAGGGGTCCACCTGCCTGAGCCTCCTGAATAGCTGGGACTATTGGCATGCACCACCACGCCTGGCTACTTTCTTGATAATGTCCTTTATTACACAAAAGTTTTCTGAAGTTTGATTATGACGTGTCCTGGCATGGATTTCTTTAGGTTTATCTGATTTGGGTTCATGCAGCTTCTTGATCTGTGGATTTATGTCTTTTGCCAAATTTGGGACATTTTCAGTCATTATTTCTTCAAAAAAAATTTTAGCCCCACCTCATTCTTCTCTCTTTTAGGGACTCTGATGACACAAATATTAGGTCTTTCATTACAGTCTCATAAGACCCTGAGACACTGTTTATTGTTTTCTGTTTTCTGTCTGTCATTCAGTTTGGGTGATTTATATTGTTCTATCTTCAAATTCATTGATTCTTTTCTTTGTCTTCTCTATTCTGCTGTTGAGCCCATATTTTGGTTGTATTTTTTTCAGTTATATATATATTTTTAAGGCAGAATTTCACTCTGTCACCCAGGCTGGAGTACAGTGGCACGATCATAGTTCACTGTAACGTCAAACTCCTGGGCTCAAACGATCCTCCTGCTTCAGCCTCCCGAGTAGCTGGGACTACAGGCACATACCATCATGCCTGGCAATTTTTTTTGATCTTTTATTTTTAGAGATGGGATCTTGCTTTGCTGTGCAGGCTGTCAGTTCTAAAATTTGCACTTGGTTCTTCTTTATATGTTCTACTACTCTGCAAAGAGTTTATATTTTTTCATTTATTTCAAACATGTTCATATTATTCATTGAAACATTTTATGATGGCTGCTTTAAAATCTTGGTGAGATGGCCGGGCGCGGTGGCTCAAGCCTGTAATCCCAGCACTTTGGGAGGCCGAGGCGGGCGGATCACTAGGTCAGGAGATCGAGACCATCCTGGCTAACATGGTGAAACCCTGTCTCTACTAAAAAATACAAAAAACTAGCCGGGCGAGGTGGCGGGCGCCTGTAGTCCCAGCTACTCGGGAGGCTGAGGCAGGAGAATGGCGTAAACCCAGGAGGCGGAGCTTGCAGTGAGCTGAGATCCAGCCACTGCACCCCAGCCTGGGCGACAGAGCCAGACTCCGTCTCAAAAAAAAAAAAAAAAAAATCTTGGTGAGATAATTCCAACGTTTGTGTCACCTTGGTGTCAGTGTCTATCATTGTCTCCCCTCACAAGACTCTGGGTGGTTTTTATTTTTGTTTTTTGTTTTTTTAGACAGAGTCTCGCTCTGTCACCCAGGCTGGAGTGCAGTGGTGTGATCTTGGCTCACTTCAACCTCCACCTCCCAGGTTCAAGCAATCCTCCTGCCTCAGCCTCGTGAGTAGCTGGGATTACAGGTGCCCACCACCATGCCTGGCTAATTTTTTTTTTTTTTTTCAGTAGAGACAAGGTTTCACCATGTTGACCAGGCTGGTCTCAAACTCCACCTGCCTTGGCCTCCAAAAGTGCTGGAATTACAGGCATGAGCCACCACGCCTGGCCTTCTGGGTGGCTTTTAAATCTTGTTTTAGCAGACCTTCTCTGACTGTACATTGGTGGGAAAAGAGGGGCACTGCCTCTTTACTGCCAGGTGGAGGTAAAAGTCCAGGCTCCCACTGGGGACACCTTTTGGGTGTGTGTGGAGGTGGGGGATGCCCCCTTACTACTGGGTTGCTGGGAGGGCCTCCCATGTGGCCTCCGTTGACACCACCCAGGCGGGGAGCAGGAGGGTTTGCCACATGGGGGTGAAAGTCCAGGCTTCTTATGCACCTTGGCTGATGGGGGTGGAGGTGGGCTGTTTGGCTGCCACAAGGAAGTTCATGTCAAAAAGTTTTTTGTCTTACTAGGCTGCCTTTTTCCTTGTCTTTTGGCTTTTCCGGGAGTTTTTTTTCACCTGCATCCCTTGGTGTTTCCAGGTTGTCAGCCCCTCCAGCTTCCAGTCCAGGATATATAAGGTAAAAAGAAAACCACGGGAACTCACCACCTTGTCTTCCCTGAGTCTCAAGCTCCCTGGCCCATCGACCTTCTCTCTATATCTTCCAGAGTCTTCATAGGCTTGTTTTAGGTATAATGTCCAGGGGGATTGGCTGGACTAAGCGGAATAAATTGGAAGAAGTACATCTACCCCAATTTGTTCCCAATACCGTTTTCCAATGGTCCATTTTTTTTTCTTCTGAGCTGCAATGTCAGCTCTTGTCATATATCAAGTTTCCATATAGACATCGGTATTTTTTAATGGATTATTTATTTATTTACTTTAAAATTTTAGATTCGGGGGTACATGCGCAGGTTTGTTACACAGGTATATTGTGCTGAGAGTTGGGCTTCGGATGATCCCATCGCCCAGGTAGTAAACATAGTACCCAATACTGTGTTTTCAACCCTTGCCTTCCTTGCTCCCCCTTTCGGAATCCCCTGCTTGTTTCCATCTTTGTGTTTCTGTGTATTTAAATCGGTATTTTAATGTCTTTACATTTACTGAAATTTCCTTTAATGTCCTTCAGTAAGATTGTATAATTTTCTTAGTAAAGGACATGCTAATCTTTTGTTAGCTTTATTAGTAGATAGGCTTTCAATTTTTGCTTCATTGGGAATAGGACCTCTTTTAAAGCATATTTTAAATTGTTGCTGGTGTATAGAAATGAAGTTGACTTCTGCATATTGATTTTACAACAATAAACTTTTTGCAATTATAATACTTTTTCTGCAGATTATTTTGTAGCCTGGTTTGAATATCTTTAATTTCTTTTTGTTTTACTGTGCTGGCTAAGACTTTTCATTATACTAGTGTAGGAGAATGACGACAGTGGACATTCTTTCCTTTGTCCTGATTTTAAAGGAAATACATCTAATATTTTACCTTTGAGTATGACTTATGGTGTAGGTTTTTGAAGATGTCTTTTATCAAGTTAAGGAAGTTCCTATTCCTGGTTTACTAAAAGTTTTTTTTTTTTTTTTTTGAGACAGATTATAGCTCTGTCACCCAGGCTGGAGTACAGTGGCGTGGTCTCGGCTCATCGCAACCTCCACCTCCCAGGTTCAAGCGATTCTCCCACCCCAGCCTCCCAAGTAGCTGGGATTACAGGTGAACACCACCATGCCCGGCTAATTTTTGTATTTTTAGTAGAGGTGGAGTTTCACCATGTTGGCCAGGCTGGTCTCGAACTCCCAACCTCAAGTGATCCACCTGCCTCAGCCTCCCAAAGTTTTGGGATTACAGGCGTGAGCCACCTCCCCTGGTTGCCAGAAGATTTTTTAAAATTCGGGAATGGAGATGATCATAAGGTTTTTAACCTTTCTTTTGTTAATGTGGTACAGATAATTTTTAAAGCCTTTTAATTAATTCAAAATCATTACGTGGGTTAAGAGAACACAACGCTTTAAATAAAGGCTTTATCAAATCAGGATTCAGGTAAAAATAATGAAGTAAAAGTCTGCTATGATTATAGATCTTTTACTAACTTAATAATTTTAGTCAGTAAGAGGATTTGGAGTTAACTCAGTTTTAAAGATCTGTAAGTCAAAAGGAGGTTTTTCTTTTTTTCTGCCTGTAAGCAGGTCATAATTTCCGCTTTGCTATGTCATTTGTAAAAGTGTCCAATTCTACATATAGGCCTTTAAGAAATAATTGCATTATTGAATTAGAGCAATTGGAGAATGTATTATGTTTTAGTTTGGAGAGAATGCCATCCCCAAGCTTCAGGGACATCCCTGCCTTCTGACTTCTCCAAGTCCAGTGGTAAGGAGTATTGGGAGAATAAGAGAAAGAAAGGGTAGGAAACTGGGCTCTCAGCACCCTTTTCTTGACTTCCCTTAATTGTAGGTGTCAGCCCGTGAAATTTTGGCTAGCTTCAAGCCTACATGGTAAATATATGTCTTGTGGAAATGCAAACAAACTTGTATTTCTTTATGGATGGTTAGTGATGGCTTTAGTCAAGATAGATTATTTTTAAGAAAACAAATGTAGGCTGGGCACGGTGGCTCATGCCCTTAATCCCAGCACTTTGGGAGGCTGAGGCGGGCGGATCACTTAAGGTCAGGAGTTCAAGACCAGCCTGGCCAACATAGTGAATCCCCATCTCTACTAAAAATACAAAAATTAGCCAGGCATGGTGGCGTGCGCCTGTAATCTCAGCCACTCAGGAGGCTGAGGTAGGAGAATTGCTTGAACCTGGGTGGAGGTTGCAGTGAGCTGAGATTGTGCCACTGCACTCCAGCCTAGGTGATAGAGCAAGACTCCATCTCAAAAAAAATATATATATATATACTTTTTGATGATTTTAATGAGAATACAAAATGATTATTGTTCTTTCTGGCTCTGGATGTTAGCCCAGTGTTTTGTTGTTAACTATAATGTGATACAATATGACATAAAATATCATATGCAATATTATTTCAGATTGACTATGATATACCTAAGTAGGCCAGAATTAGCACAAAATAGTCCACCTGGAAAAAAAACCTTTATGAAAACACCAATTCATCTGAAATAATTAAGAATGGAACTACTGGCTAAAAATGTTACTTCCATAGGAAATTAATGATTTTGATAATTTATTAATTAATGAAAAGTTTTTAAAAACATGTTTTGACATATTTTTAATGATGAGTTTTTCTATAATAATATATATATTTTTAAAGCATTGGAGCCAGAATATCTGGGTTTAAATTATAGCCATGCCTTTTATGAATTGTGTTATCTAGGGCAAGCAATTTAGCTCCCTAAGCCTCTACTTCCTCTTCTGTAAAATGGTGACTGTAATAATTACGTCCTAGAGTTGTTAGAAAGATTAAGTGAATTGGCCGAGCGCAGTGGCTTACACTTGTAATCCCAACACTTTGGGAGGCCGAGGCAGGTAGATCACAAGGTCAGGAGATCAAGGCCATCCTGGTGAAACCCCGTCTCTACTAAAAATACAAAAAAATTATCTGGGTGTTGTGGCTCACGCCTGTAATCCCAGCTACTCAGGAGGCTGAGGGAGGAGAATCACTTGAACTGGAGAGGCGGAGATTGCAGTGAGCCGAGATCACGCTACTGCACTCCATCCTGGCAACAGAGCAAGACTCTGTCACAAAAAAAAAGAAAGAAAGAAAGAAAGAAAGATTAAGTAAATTGAAGTATGTGAAATGCCCAAGATAACAGATGTCAGAACGTGGTATTTCTAATTCCCTCCACTATCATGCTGCAGTACCATGTGGTGATTATGGGCAGGGACTGTGGGGCTCCACTGCCTCACCAGCTGTGTGAGTGTGGGAAAGCTACTTAAACGCTATATGCCTCAGGGCTCTCATCTGTAAAATGGGCATAATAAAAGCACCTTTCTCATAGGGTGGTTTTGAGAATGAATTTAGTTTATTGATATAAAATGCTTAGAATGGTGCCTGGTGCGCAGGGAATGCCATGTACGTGGTAGCTAGTGTTGTACTGAGACAGTCACAGTTTGCTGTATTGGCATATCTCTGACTTACTACTTTTATAACTAACTACAGCTGTGGCCAGCAATATGCTTCAGGCCTTGGGAGTGTGGTGGAATTTTCGGACTTGAATGCCAAGGGTATAGCGAAGAGGGTGGAAAAGCAGAGGGGGCCACGTATTCCCCAGCTCTGGGCTCCGAATGCTTTGCTAAAACAGCCATCTTTGCAGATTCTAGCTCTGGGCCTAAGGAGAAGAGAGCAAAGATATTATGTGTCTCCTGGGTGCCATTTACCCTCACTGAGCCACTGCTTTAATAAACACCAATATTTTTTAGCTCCACTGTAAATGTTGTTTATAGTGAAAATCATATTATAACAGCATTAATGGAATTTTTTAGAAGATGAAATATAAATCAACTATAAATGCACCACTTGATGCAAAAACTGATTTTATTTTTTCAATTTACCTCTAGTTTTTGTTTACATGCATATCTAGTATATGTTTACACAGTAGACATCACTGTTTATGTACAATTATACCCTGTTTATTAATACTAATCGATAACAGTTTTCCCTGTTATATGGTCTTTATAATAGTAATTATTGATAGCTGCACAATCAGGTAGATAGGCCATAATTACTCCATTTTTGAAAATGACAATGTCCACCTTCTACATACTGGAGGAGAACTTTACATATGATTAATAGCAAAGAAAACAAATTGTAAAAGAAAAGGAAATCAAAGGCCTAAATCTCCTTATGGCACAAGGGGAGTATTTGATTGCTTAGGAGCTGTAAAATTCTATCATTTGATTTTGCAATGCATTTCTACCCCAAATGCTTTATTTCATGTATGTATTTTTAAATTTAAGAGAATTAAAAAGAAGTTGCATGTGATGGGTATGTGGAGGTTCATTATACTATTGTCTATTTTTGTATATGTTTAAAATTTTCCATAAGTAAAAAGCTTAAAAAAGAATCTGCTTATAAATGATTTTTCCAATACCCTTGGAAATAGCTTGAAATATCTCTTGATGAACATGCCAACACTAGCCCACATGGCACCTTTGTGGGAAATTTCAAAGTATCTCTTCCTCAAGAGCTTCTGCTTCCCTGTTCCTGGAAGGGTATGTGGTAAGGGTATGTAAATCTACAGTGTCTACATGGGAAAAGGTGCTCCTTGCATGTGGCTCTCTTGCACGGTGCACAACTTCCCACATATGCAAGAGTTTTGCTTGAGTATCACTAAACCACTGTTGAGAACGTGTTTAAGAAGGGGGCACAGGGAGTACAGGGGAAGCGGAGGAGGCTATAGCTGTTCCATCATTGGTGACCTGTACTGGGTAGAGGGTGACTAGCAGTGCGTGATGCTACAGCAAGCCATGCCCTCCCCAACCCACCCTGGGCTGGGACCCTTGGGTCTGCCGTAGGTCATAGTCCACATTCACTGGAGGGGTCCACTTTATGGTTGTGTCCTGACCACATCCTTCCTAAGACCCAGGCTCTCCTTTCTCCTGGTAGCTCCGTGATGAACACAAATGCCCCTCTTCTGTCGGGCCCTCCAAACTCTCCAGTCCAGGCTACCTTGGGATTGAGGTCATTACTCTCCTCTTGACTTTCCTTGTGCTTGTGGTTCTGTCCTGGTCTCGGTCAGTCCTTTCCCTGTCTGACGCTAGTTCCAGCTCCTTCTCTCACTCCTGGGAACTCTCCAGTTCCTGACTCACTGCAGCCTACAGGCTCTGACAGCACGGCAGGTGTCAGAAGGCGCCTCTTATGTTCAAGGGTCCTGGGCTTCCAGCAGGGAAGTAGGTGGCAAGTTACCAGTAGCCCCAAATGTTAGATGCTGTGGCTTGATTAAAGAGAAATAGGAGACAGCTCCATGAGATCCAACAGATGGTCTGATTAGGGAAGAAGGAAGCCAGTGCAGAACACTTACAAAATAGCCACGCTTGGTAGTGAGCTGTTTTGGACAGGGACGGTTTGGCAAGCCCTTCTGAAATCTTCACAGCCGGCGTCAGGCCTGGCACTGAGCAGCATGCAACAAATGTTTGTTAGATGAATAAATAAAACATAAGGGCTGGGCACAATGGCTCACACCTGTAATCCCAGCACTTTGGGAGGCTGAGGCGGGTAGATTGCTTGAGTCCAAGAGTTCGAGACCAGCCTACCCAACAGGACAAAACCCTGTCTCTACTAAAAATATTACACAAAAATTAGCCAGGTGTGGTGGAGCGTGCCTGTAATCTCTGCTACTCAGAAGGCTGAGGCAGGAGAATTGCTTGAACCCAGGAGGCAGAGGTTACAGTGAGCCAAGATCGTGCCACTGCACTCCAGCCTGGGTGACTCTGTCTCCAAAAACAAACAAACAAACAAAACACTACAGTATAAAATGTATATATTAGGGCTGAAGAAATATAGCATAGAAGAGTGATCTAAGTGGATGAGAGTAATAAAGATTTCTTACAGGGGGAAATTATTTTTAGAAACTGAAGGGTAGAGAGAAGTCTAGTGCAGTGGTCCAAGCACTGATAATAATACTGTATAGCCTCTAGCAAGTTACTTAACCTTTCTGTCTCAGACTCATTTCCAAAACAGAATAGTGCTTACTAGATAGGGGTGGAGTGTTCCCTCGCAGGTGGCGCTCACTGGAAGGCCTCAGTGAGTTAATGGGTAAATGGAGCTTAGTGCTTGATCAATAGAATTAGCAACATCATCTGATATCCCATCTTCACATTCCTGGGAGTCCTCTACAATTGCTCCTAATTCTTTCACAAAGTAACATTTTATTTTCCTAAATTATTTTCTAGTCCTTGTTCATAGTCAACTTGTTTTGTTAAAATTACTTTATTCTTTGTAGAAAATGATGCATGCTCATAAAAAAGAGCTCCAAGCAATAAAGTACAAATAAAGAAGCAAAATAGAGTTGATATTTAAGAACAGAGTGCTGTTCTCATCACGTGGCCCTAGTCCCTTGTATGTGTATTGTTCTCATGCGAGTCACTGAAGCAAAATATTACTCCATGGAACCTGGATGTTTTTGCTAATTCTTGAATAAAGACAAACAAGTTTGTATTATAAAGTATCAAACTACTTTATCTAGACTTTTTCTAAATAAGAAAACTGAACTGACTTTTTCTGGAATAAAAACTGAGGTTATTTGTACAAGACATTGGAAACAAATTCCTCTTGACATTTTCTTTCTGTTTATCAGTGGCCTGAGGCTTCCACCACTAAACCCAAAGCTGTAGATACCTATTGCTTGGAGTATAAGCCTTCCAAGGGAAGAAGGTAATGATGTTTTTTAGCATATGTGGAAATTGATATTGCATCCTGTAACTCTGGAAAAACTCATTGTTCAGATTTATGTGAAGGGTTTAGCCTGAAAATAATCTGTTGAGAAAGGAGAAGGATTCGTAATATCCAACAATTTCAAAGCCAAAGTTTCTAGTTCATTGCTCATATTTAGAGATAAGGAAGTAGGCCCAGGAGAACTGGGAGGACAGGGCAAAAGTCACAGTGGACTAAGATCACAACCCAAGTCTCCTGACATGTAGCCATTTGGAAACATTTCTTTCTATTTGCATCCTGGAAGATGGGCAAGAGGAAAAAAAAAAAAAAAAAAATTTAAAAGGATGTAAGGGTGGGCGCGGTGGCTCTTGCCTGTAATCCCAGTACGTTAGGGGGCTGAGGCAGGTGGACTGCCTGAGGTCAGGAGTTCGAGACCAGTCTGGCCAACATGGTGAAACCCCATCTGTACCAAAAATACAAAAAAATTAGCCAGACGTGGTGGCATGCACCTGTAATCCCAGCTACTTGGGAGGCTGAGGCAAGGGAATTGCTTGAACCAGGGAGGCGGAGGTTGCTGTGAGCCGAGATGGTGCCACTGCACTCCAGCCTGGGTAACAGAGCGAGACTCCGCCTCAAAAAAATAAATAAAAAAATAGAAAGGATATAAATATACAGTTAAATAGGAGAAATAAGACGTAGGGTTCAATAGGTCAGTAGAGTGGCTTTAGTTAACAATAATCCATTGAACACTTCAAAATAGCTAGAAGAGAATAATTTAAACATTCCTAGCATAAAAAGAAGATAAGTATTTAAGGTGGTGGATATCCCAGTTGCCCTGATTTGATCTTTACACATTATATGAAGGTATCAGAATAGCACATGTTGGCTAGGCACGGTGGCTCATGCCTGTAATCCCAGCACTTTGGGAGGCTGAGGTAGAAGGATCACTTGAGGCCAGGAGTTTGAGATCAGCCTAAGCAAAATAGTGAGACCCTGTCTCTACAGAAAAATTTAAAAATTTTAAAAATGGTGGTATGTGGCTACAGTCCCAGTTACCTGGGAGGCTGATGCAGAAGGATTAGTTGAGCCCAGGAGTTCAAGGCTGCAATGCAGTGAGCATTCCAGCCTGGGCGACAGAGTTAGACCCTGTCTCAAAAAATATATATGTAATATAAAATTACATATACCCCCAAATATGTAAATCTATTATGTACCAATTTTTAAAAAGGAATAAAAAGAGTAGGTAGTTCAACTAAAAGCTCAAGACAGGCAATTGTATTAGTCAGAAAGTAAAGCTTTCTGGAGAGTTTCCTAACTTCTGAATAAACTTCAGAAGGCTTTGCAGAATTAGACTAGTGGAAACATAAGGCTCATGCTAAAAAATTTCAGAAAGTGCTCTTGCCCTTTTAAGTGCAAAATAAGCAGATTGCAAAGGCGCTTTTCGTCTCCACCCTGAAAGGTGGTGTTTGTACCTAAGAAGGGAGGAAAGAGAGGGCCTGAGTACTGAGGCTTCCCATCCACTTATACAATTTCCCAGTGGGGACCTGGGCATCTGAAAGGCCTGTGCCAAGTCAGGCTTTATGCCGGCATTGAGAAGTGCTACACAAGTGGGCAGAAACAATGAAGAAATGCTTTGTGGGATTAGAGAGACTTCACATCCCCCAATACGCTGTTAATATCACTTGTTGAAATTAGAGACTGGGCACAGTGGCTCAAGCCATAATCCCAGCACTTTGGGAGGCTGAGGTAGGAGGATCCCTTGAGCCCAGGAGTTCGAGACCAGCCTGGGCAACATGGTGAGACCACATCTCTACAAAAAAAAAATTATTTTTTAATTTTTTTGGAAGCAGGGTCTCATTCTGTTACCCAGGCTGGAGTGCAGTGGCACAGTCATAGCTCATTGCAGCCTCAAACTCCTGGGCTCGACTGATTCTTCCATCTCAGCCTCCATGCCCAGCTAATTTTTTTTTTTTTTTTCAGATGGAGTTTCACTCTTGTTGTCCAGGCTGGAGTGCAGTGGCACAGTCTCAGCTCACCGCAACATCCGCCTCCTGGGTTCCAGCGATTCTCCTGCCTCAGCCTCCTGAGTAGCTGGGATTATAGCCATGCGCCACCACACCTGGCTAATTTTTGTGTTTTTAGTAGAGTCGGGGTTTCACCATGTTGGCCAAGCTGGTCTCGAACTCCTGACCTCGGGATTCACCCGCCTTGGCCTCCCAAAATTCTGGGATTACAGGCGTGAGGCACCACGCCCGGCTTGTTCTCAGCTAACTTTTATATTTTTTGTAGAGACAGGATTTCAAACTCCGGGGCTCAAGCAGTCTGCCTGCCTTGGCCTCCCAAAGTGCTGGAATTACAGGCGTGAACCACTGCACCTGGCCTACAATTTTTTTTTTTTTAAATTAGCTGGGTGTGGTGGCATGTACCTGTGGTCAAAGCTACTCAAGAGGCTGAGGTGGGAGGATGTCTTGAGCCCAGGAGGTTCCGAGGCTGCAGTGAGCTGTGATTGTACCACTGCACTCCAGCCTGACAACAGAATAAGACCCTGTCTCAATAAAAAAAGAAAAAAATAAAAATAAAGAAGAAACTAGCATAGGTTTTTAGTGAGGAGAGGCTATCTCTAAATCCCCACCATGACTGCACCCTTGGGCTTCAAGACATACTTTAAGGGGGTGCTCAGGTACACCGGAGCTGTCCAATCCTAAGAGCCGCTGATGTTTTCACAGGTGGGCTGCAAAAGCACCAAGCATTAGAATCACATATGGGACTATCACCAAAAAGAGAGGCTACTGCGCGGAAGACCAGACTATTGAGAGCTGGAAAGAAGAAGGTTTCCCAGTGGGCTTGAAGCTTGCTGTGCTTGGTATTTTCATCATCGTGGTGTTTGTCTACATAACTGTGGAAAATAAGTCGCTGTTTGGTTAAGTAATTTAGGAGCAAAGCAATACTCCAAGCGAGGCCTCCTGCTTCAGGAAAGAACCAAAAAAGTACCCTGAAGGGCAAGCCTAGCCCGCAGCCCTCCCTTGCAGGGAGCCTTCCCTTGCACTGTGCTGCTCTCACAGATTGGTATCTGGGCTCAGCCAGGTGGAAGGAACCAATGGGAGAACGAGGCACCTGTATTAAGAGCGTGATGGTTAGGAAATTGCCCAAGTCATGTCAGCTCTCATTAAAGGTGCTTTCATATTTGAGCAGGTGTCAAACAAGGAAACTGTCTGACATTTTTCTTTCTAACTCTGGTGACAAGCCATAGGTCGCATTTTATTCACTCTTCCAATTGTATAGCCAACTCTGGGAAACAGCTAATTTACAGCAGAGAAATGTGTCTAGTTTAGCAAACACAAAGAAATGTCCAACACCATGGAAACAATTTAGAAGAGGATAGCATTTTTGCCTTTGAAACTTAGCAAGGTTCTAAAAAATTACCATCTGACAAAGAAATGTAATAACTATGGCCTCAGGGACCAGGCAGAGCTGTGTAGGCACCCGGCTCCTCTCTTTATAAGGCCCTGTGACCTTGGGTGAGTTAGTTGTCCTCCCTGATTTTCAGTTTCAACTTTCAAGGGTAGAATAGGCCTCTTAGGGTGATTAAGAATTTGAGGAAATAATGTGCGTAATGTACTTAGTGTGGTCCACACCTGACTTGTAGTAAGTACTCAATAAATGCTTAAGCAATGTTACACTTTGGCACAATATTGGAGGAGCTAATTCTAGGTACAAAAAAGCACCAGAGGCTGGGCATGATAGCTTAAGCCTGTAATCCCAGCACTTTGGGAGGCCGAGGTGGGTGGATCACTTGAGGTCGAGAGTTCGAGACCGGCCTGGCCAACATGGTAAAACCCTGCCTCTACTAAAAATACAAAAAATTAGCTGGGCATGGTGGCACACGCCTGTAGTCCCAGCTACTCGGAGGCTGAGGCAGGAGACTCACTTGAACCCAGGAGGCAGAGGTTGCAGTGAGCAGACCTCTGCCTCTGCTCCAGCCTGGGCAACAGCCTAGGCTCGTGATCCACCCGCCTCAGCCTCCCAAAGTTCTGGGATTACAGCATGAGCCACCATGCCCAGCCTGAAAATGCTTATTTAAAAAAAATTTTTTTTTAATAGCTTTATTGTGGAATTGCTTGAGTCTAGGAGTTCAAGGATGCAGTGAGCTGTGATCACACTACTTAACTCCAGCCTGGGCCCTGTCTCTTAAAACATATGTATATAGAGAGAGATAAATAATTTATATACCATACTCTTCACCTACTGAGAGTTACAATTCAATTATTTTTAGTATATTCATAGAGTTATGCAATCATTCCCACAATAAATTTTAGAATATTTTCATCATTCCAAAAAGAAATCCTTAAGGTGCTTATTTTAACGGTAAACAAAAAAGGACATAAATTTGTTGTACCATATTATCACAACCGCACAACAGTGGAAGAAAATATGTCAAAATGTTAAGAGTACTTTGGTGACTGGGGCGCTAATTTTTCCCCCATTTCTACTTTTTAAATATTTTTAAAGATTTCTGTAAGCAGTGTATATCAGTTTGCTAATGAGAGAATATAAACATTAATTTTTTTAAATTGCATTCTGTCTGGATGTGGTGGCACATGCTTGTAATCCCAGCACTTTGGGAGGCTGAGGTGGGAGGATCACTTGAGGCCAGGGGTTTGAGACCAGCCTGTACAACATAGCAAGACCCTGCCTGTAAAACAAAAAAAGAAGAAGAAATTTTTGGAAAACTGCATACTGTATTACAGTTTGAATGCAAAGATCATAAAACTCTAGTAAGGCTGGCTTAAACAGGGATCTATTTTTATCTCATAAAAAGAAGTCTAGGGCCACGTGCTGTGGCTCACACCTGTAATTCCAGCACTTGGGGAGGCCTAGGTGGGCGGATCACCTGAGGTCAGAAGTTCGAGACCAGCCTGACCAACATGGAGAAACTGTGTCTCTACTAAAAATACAAAATTAGCCAGGTATAGTGGCACATGCCTGTAATCCCAGCTACTCAGGAGGCTGAGGCAGGAGAATCGCTTGAACCTGAGAGGCGGAGTTTGCAGTGAGCCGAGATCAGGCCATTGCGCTCCAACCTGGGCAACAAGAGTGAAACTCGGTCTCAGAAAAAACAAAAAAGTCTAGAGTTTAAGATGTTCAGTATTGTTTAAAATGACCAAAAATGTAATATAATGCTGATTCAAACAAACCAAGTGCAGAAAAAATTATGATCAAGGAGATGTGAAACTGACCCGATTTTTGGTGGTATTCAGAGAGGTTTGTTTTGACCCAGCTGCAGCAGCTGTCTGACTCCCAGGGGAAAAAGCGAAAGGCTAAGAGAATCCCAGACATTGGCCTGGCACCTTGGAACTGCTGAAATTCCATGAAGAATCCAGATAATGGCCATCACATTATCATTTAAGGCAGGACACAAGGACTAACCACGTCTCTTCTCCAGCTCTACGTATTTCATCCTGAGCAGCAAGGGAGGCTGAGAAAGTGGCATTGGAGCCTTAGCAGCCTCTGTGTCAGACAGACAAGGGAGAAGAGGATTGGTCATAGGAGTAAGCGGAGCCAACCTACAGCGGTGGTCACATGCACTTAAAAAGGAAAACTTATGTGTTTTGTTTGTTTGTTTTGAAGCAGGGTCTCATTCTATTACCCAGACTGGAGTGTGGTGGATCACTGCAACCTCCACCTCCCCGGCTTATGAACCTCCCACCTCAGCCTCCAGAGTAGCCAGGACTACAGGCCCGTGCCACCACACCTGGCTAATTTTTTTTTGTATTTTTTTTTTTTTTTTTTTTTTTGAGATGGAGTCTGGCTCTGTCACCCAGGCTGGAGTGCAGTGTCCGGATCTCAGCTCACTGCAAGCTCCGCCTCCCGGGTTTACGCCATTCTCCTGCCTCAGCCTCCGGAGTAGCTGGGACTACAGGCGCCCGCCACCTCGCCCGGCTAGTTTTTTGTACTTTTTAGTAGAGACGGGGTTTCACCGTGTTAGCCAGGATGGTCTCGATCTCCTGACCTCGTGATCCGCCTGTCTCGGCCTCCCAAAGTGCTGGGATTACAGGCTTGAGCCACCGTGCCCGGCTGTATTTTTTATAGAGATGGGGTTTCACCATGTTGCCCAGGCTGGTTCAGAACTCCTGGGCTCATGTGATCCTCCCAAAGTGCTGGGTTTACAGGTGTGAGCCACCGCGCTCCACCAAAACTTCTGTTCTTGATAAAACCAAACGTTAGAAAAAATAAAACTCCTAGAAAGTTGGCCGGGCGCGGTGGCTCAAGCCTGTAATCCCAGCACTTTGGGAGGCCGTCGGGGGGATCACAAGGTCAGGAGATTGAGACCATCCTGGCTAAGCCGGTGAAACCCTGTCTCTACTAAAAAATACAAAAAACTAGCCGGGCGAGGTGGCGGGCGCCTGTAGTCCCAGCTACTCGGGAGGCTGAGGCATGAAAATGGCGTAAACCCGGGAGGCGGAGCTTGCAGTGAGCTGAGATCCGGCCACTGCACTCCAGCCTGGGCGACAGAGCAAGACTCCGCCCCCAAAAAAAAACAAAAAAAGAAAGTTTCCTCCATTATTTTCAACTTTTCCTAGTTCTTTTATGTTAGGATTCTGGAATCAGTTTAAAGAGACTGCACTTTAAACTTTTGTGTCTGACCATTCAAGGTGTGAGTCCCCAACCAGCAGTATCAGCATCTCAGGCTCCGTCCCAACTACTGAGCCAGAATCTGCATTACAACAGGATCCCAGGTGATTCCTACCCAAATTAAAGTTTGGGAAGCATTGTGGTGGTGCATCCCTATCAGATGCTGTGATATAGTGATATAATAAAAAATTTATATTTTGTCTCTGCCCTGGTTCCTGGCACACAGTTCCTAAAACCTTGGAATCTCCTGGGTGGTAAGAGTGTCTTTTGTATGCTATTTGAGATGACTGGTGACTGGGGGCCACTAGATAGCTTCAGAATGGGGACAGGTCACCAGAAAGACCAAATCAGGATTCTAGAGTTAGAACTTTCAGTCCCATCCCCCCAGCCTCCAGGAAAGGGAGATGAACTGAAGGTTAAGTTGGTCATGAATGGCCAATGATTTGATCACTCATGCCTCCATAATGAAGCCTCCATAAAAACCCAAAAGGACTGGGTTCAGAAGCAGGTTCTGGGTAGCTGAACCTATGGAGATGCCTGGGGGGTGGAGTGCTGGAGAGAGCACAGAGCTCCGCGCCCCTTCCTGTATGCTTCACCCTGTGTGTCTCTTCCATCTGACTGCTCATCTGTACCCTTTATTATTAAACCAATACATGTAAGGAAAGTGTTTCCCTTAGTTTTGTGAACCACCCTAGCAAATTAATCTAACCCAAGGAGAGAGTCCTAGGAACCTTGATTTATAGCTGGTTGGTCAGAAGCACAGGTCACAATGTAGGGTTCATAACTGGCATTGGAAGTAGAGGGCAGTCTTCTGAGACTGAGCCCTGAACCTGTGGGATCTGATGCTGTGCCTAGGCAGACAGCGTTGGAATTGAATTGAATTAAATTATAAGGCATCCAGTTGGTGTCTGATGGATAATTTGGTGTCAGAATTGCTTGGTATGTGGGGAAAAAACCCATACATCTGGTGTCAGAAGTGTTGTGGTGGGTGGGAGTAGGAAAAAACACTTTGGTTGGCCGGGCATGGTAGCTCACACCTATAATCCCAACACTTTGGGAGGCTGAGGTGGGCAGATCGCTTGAGCTCAGGAGTTTGAGACCAGCCTAAGCAACATGGCAAAACCCTGTCTCTATAAAAAATACAAAAATTAGCCATGTGTGGTGGTGCATGCCTGTAGCCTCAGCTACTTGGCTGACTGAGGTGGGAGGATCGTTGAACCCTGGAGGTTGAGGATATAGTGAGCCATGGTTTCAATACTACATTCCAGCCTGGGTGACAAAGTGAGACCCTGTCTCAAAAAAACAAAACAACAACAACAACAAAAACCCAAAACAAACAAATAAACAACAACAACAACAACAAAACCTTTGTTTTTTTCCTATCTCTAATAGATCCATATATAGGAGGAGTCTCTAAAACTCAGGTCAGAGGACCAATGAGTTAAGTCTATCAGGAACCTAAGTGGAATGGGGGACACGTTCCCTCTTGGAGAAAAACTTGTCTTAAAAGAAGAGACTCAAGGCATACAAGTTTGGTCCCAGGCAATGTGTCACCATCCGTTCAACAATCG